CTGGAACAACAGGATCTGGTATTAAATAATCCGGGTTTTTGTACCTGCTACAAGTACAAACCACAAACCAACTGGCCAGGACTAGGCAGCCCAAAGGAAATGACAATTACCCATAGGAGCAGAGCTAGGTCCAGGCAAGCCACACTGATTGATTACAAGCGAGAACCAGATATCTGCCTTTATGGAAAATACAGTTCAGGAACAAAGAAGGGAACAAGCTAGAAAGAAGTGCGATTGACACCCAATGCCCTTCCAGGTTCTTCATCTCAAGCTACCAGGAACTTCTGGTTGGTACGTTTGTCTCTAAACAATGGTGACCAGCAGGGATGAAGTGGAAGGGAAACTGAGAGTGTGCCTTAAATACTGTTCATATCACAAATTGTCAGCTACAAAATAGTCACGGGGATGTAAAATACAGCATATAGAATATAGTCAATGACATCGTAATAACTTTGCATGGCGTCAGATGGGTACTAGACTTATTGGAGGATCACTTCATAAGTTATATAAATGTTTAACTTCATAAGCTATATAAATGCACCTGAAAATGTTGAATGTCAACTGTAACTGAAAAATTCTTTTAATTAAAAAATAAAAAATTAATTTTAAAAATATTGTACTTGGCATATTTTACTTAATCCACTATTTAGGTACATTTGATTGTTTCCAGTTCTTAATCTTATAAGAAAGGCTATAAATTTTATTTTTTGGTTTTTTTGCTAAATTTTTCTATATATCATGTTTATTTCCTTAGGATAAATTTTTAGAAATATAATACCGAGATAAATCTCAAGTGTGAATATTTCTCTAATTTTGATATATAGTATTTAGGCATAAAATGAAATCCTAATTTTGCTGTCAATGTACATTCCTGATGCCTGTGAGAAGTCATTTGACCATTGCTACTGTACTTCCTAGCCTTATTTAATTCTTCCTCTACTGTGAGGGTGAGTTAAATAACTCGTTACGGAGGAAGTTAAAAATAGTTTAGTTGGGAGGTGATGCAATAGTGGAAATTTTAGGGTTAGAACAAATGAAAGAGAATGAGTTTGAAGAGTATAAATGCAGTCACACAGCAAACAAATTACTCCTTGGATTTACTCCTGAGATAAACCTCCTCTTTAGACCATGAAGCTCAAGGTATTGTTACATTTGATGTGGCTTATTTAAATTGGTCTTCTAGGTTATCTTTCCTTTCTTAATTTCCTCAGTTGCCCTCTCTTTTTAAGAGCTACCTGCTTCTACTTTAAAAATGGCATTTTACCATTTCTCATAGCCTCTGGGCTATATCTAATTAACTGCATCTTTTTTTTTTTAATCAGTGTTTTACTAATAATACCTATGATTCTGTTATATAAAATTAGGAGGAAAGTGAATCATTATAAAGTCATTGAATTTTAACCTCCTAGTTTCATATATGTCAATTACAACATTGCCAGATTGCATTTCTAATTATTTTTACTATCCTTAGTTCCCTGGAGAAGATAAGCTTTTTGTGGAAGAAACTGTAACCTCTTGGTTTGGTATTCTAGAGAGCTTAGCCAAGTGCCAGACATATAGCAGGAATTTGTGAAATATTTATTAAATGACTTCATATTTTGCCTTAATTTATACATCAATCATAGTGTTTTACTAAAAAGAGATGTAAATGCCAGGAGAAAGTCAAGAAGACCAAAATAATACTTTAGAAATAGATGGGGCCCAGCCTACAGACAGCCGAGCAGCTGCGCGTTCATTTCCTCATTCCCTTCCTGGAGGCACAGAAAGAGGCCAATTGTTCTTCACACGTGGGGTGGTATTCAGGACCTGTCAGGAGATCCCCATACTTGCCCCACACTTTTTATGAAAGCTCGGCTTTTGTAAGTCACTAGCACTTTGGGGTCATGTAGATGGACACCAGGATCACCTTCCAGTCTCCGTGTTTGAGCCCTGCCAATCCATGCTCCCAGGCCCACACACCTCTCCACAGGGTTCTCCCAGGCCAGGTCTAACTCTGCAGCGATGAACAACCAGTCACAAAATGCTCTCATCTGTGGGAATTGTGAGGGCGGGAAGAGAGGTTGAAAAGAGGCAATTTTGCTTAGAACGAGGAGTCCAACCAGTGCTAGAAACTCTACGTTTTACTTGGCAGTCATCAAACCAGTGTTTCATCCTTTCATCCCTTTGCCTCTAAATACATTTACCCCGATTTCTAGCACCATGAAAATCAAAGTTATTGTTATTCTCCATTTTCCTCAGAAACTTCTTTGCCAGCACCTCTTCTCCCAGTGTTCTCCTCTCTGCGCCCAGATGATTCACCTTTCTGCTAAAGCTTCAGAGACATAAAGAGTAGCCCATTCTTTTGAAAATTGCAGGGTTTTCCTCACTTGATATTCTGGAGACTGCAAATATGGGACCAATCAGTGGCCAGCTCGAAGGACTTTCACCTGGGCACTGGTTCCGTTTCTTATCTCTGCCTGGGCACTGAGTTTAGCATCAAAGCATCTCAGACACCTCAGATCCTCTAATCCAATAGTCCCTCACCCTATAGCTAACACTTTAAAATGATGTGTCTGATTCTTAGACAAAGTAAGTAGCTCAATAACGTAATAATCAGAGCAGAAAAGGAAAGCAACCCAACATTTACTAAGTTGGGTACTAAGTCCTAAGCATATAGTGAAACACAATTTAGGAGTGGATGTTTTTAAACTGTACATAATAAAGTTCTCTTGTAAGACATTTTAAAGACAAAATAATTGTCTATGCATTGAAGAACTTGATATTTAAAGGAATTGCACAGTACTCTGCTGCTTATAAAATGTAAATAGACTTACAGGTTTTTATTAGGTGGTTTGTGGGTTAGAAGCAGAATGGTCTTCTCCACGCATAGGATGACCACGCATACTTCACATTCGACAAGTTCACAGTGCATCCATCACTGTTGCCCCAAAGTCTGCAACTCATCCTGTGTGCTCTCTCTTGGTAAATGGCACTGCTGTTGCCACATCTGGAACTGGTGCCACTGCAGCAGTCTCTTGTCTGCCCATCTCAAATTCTTTCTCTACACGACTGCCTACAGAGATGGCTGCAAAACACAGTTCTGATCACATCCCTACCTTTCTTAAGACAGCACTTCGGCTCCCCATTGACTCAGCTGTGGCCTGCAAATCCATTCTCCCTTTCACCTCTGTCCCCTGCATGCAGCTCTACAGCTGGAGTTTGCCGCATTCATTGCACTCCTCACTCCTCCAAACCTTGGCCCACGCTGCTACCCTTGCCTTTCACCTCCATCCTCATCTCGGGCACTTTCGTCTGGCTGACTCCCTCCCATAAGTTTTCATAACCAGCTCAGGTATCAACACCCCCAGGTACTCTCCACCAACAGAAAGATTCTCCAGGATACTTTTAAATTTTCTAGTAGCCATGTTTTAAAAAGAAGAAACTGATTAAATTAATTATAATAATATATTTTATTTAACCAATATATCCCAAATATTACCATTTCAGTATGTAATCAAGATTTCACAACTATTAATATGCTTTATATTCCTTTTTGCCTACCCATCTTCAAAATCCAGTGTTTATTTTACTCCTATAATACATCCCAGTTTGGACAGTCGCGTTTCAGATGCTCAAGAGCGCATGTGGAGAGTAGCTACCACGTGGGACATGAAAGCACTAGAGAACTTGAGGATCACCTAGACGTCTTAATGAAAACATAGAACCATGTGCCATAATTCCAAAGCTTCTAATGCTGGGAGGGCTAATTCTCGGAGTCTGGAGTGGGGATCACAGACGTTCATTTTCAACAAGAACTCCAAGTGTTTCTGATGTACATGTTTGTCAGACCACACTTTAAGAAACAGGCTTAATAGCCGTGCATCAGTTTTGGAGTTAGACTCATAGGGGTTTCTGTTCTGACTCCATCATTTCAAAGCTGTGTAATTTAGTGACTACTGCCACATCCTCTTTCTACCCTACTGCGTGACAAGGTCCGGAGATGGGGACAGAGGCTTCAAGGAATGCATCGTCAAGAACGAGGACGTGGCATGTGTTTAGGGATAACTGGTTTCTTAGAAACGATCCTATTAATAGGGGGAATTTGGGTAGCGCAAATTCTAGTAAGTGTAAACGCTGTACAAGTGGATTTCCTCAAAATTGGCTCTGAGGAAAACATAGTAAATTCCCCGCGTATGGAATCAGCTCCAGTCACCCTGACGTGTCCAGAATGCGTAAACCCTTTATTTGAACAATTATTAAGGGCAATT